CGGGGGGCGCCTTGCGGCGCTGGGAAGCCAGGATGGCGTTGGAGGCGGCGCGCGTGCTGTTGACCAGCAAGCACTGCTGGCAGGTGCACGGCTGGCCCGAGTTGGCGCCCACGGGCCAGGACTGCGACTTGGGGATGGAGCCCACGGTGAGCGGGTAGGCCAGGTCCAGGCGGCGGCGCAGGCGGCGGCGGCGGCGCGTCTGGCGGTTCATCTGCGACATGCTGTTGAAGTAGATGAGGTAGCAGAAGCCCAGCGACGAGAGGTCGAGCCACGGGTGCTGCTTCTCGTAGGCGTTCTGGATGGTGATGCCGATGTCCATGTCGTAGGCGGTCCACGCGCCGCTGTCGCTCTCCCACTCCCACACGATCCCCTTGCCCGGCGCCGACGACGGGTCGTAGAAGTTGCGCCGCACGGGCCGCATGGTGCCTGCGGTCAGAAGGAAGGGGGCGCGGGCGGTCAGCCTGGGCCCAGGGTACGGTCCAAGCTGGGGCTGCGGGGAGCGGCAGAGGTCCAGCAGGGAGGTGTGGCTGCGGGGCAAGGTGGGGGGCGGAGTCAACACAGACCCGAGGGGAGGGGTCAATGCAGGTGAGGGTAGGGACGCAGGGGGCTGGTCAGAACAGGCTGGAGCAGGGTGAGGGGGACCCCCGTGGGGAAAGGTCCCCACAGACGCGAGTGAGTTGGAAGCTAGCCTGCACGAGGCCAACACAGGTTGCGTAACGGGAAGCACCACACAGGGGTGCATCACACAGGATGGGGGGCATCAGGATGGGGGCAGGGTACTCAACCTCCTCCCCCATCTATGTAGCTGACATGGAAGGGAGGCCCTGGGCACGCAGGCACCCAAGGGCAGAGTTCATTCCTCCAGTTAGTCACCCATTCACCCGGTCTTCTAACCATCCATTCATGGGGACTGTAACTTTTCATGGGAGGAGAAAACCTAGTCTGTTCCCCCAAGGTGTGGCCGGTGGTGTTTGAACGGTTTCCATCCATTCTTACGTCGATGTGTTTCTTACTCCCAGCACGAGTTCATACATCCATCCCATCACTCATCCATGCGCTCATTCCTTCCTCCCGTCCATGTGACCACTTCAGGAGTTCGTGTCCCATTCAGGCCTCCAGTTGCTTCTTCAGGCTGTGGTCGAGCACCTGCGCGCGCGCGCGCATACACACACACGCACGCGCACTGTAATTCATTCGTTCACATCCGTAGTCACGTGTTACCCTTGTCATTCAGATCTTACCCCTTTATCCACCCAGCCAGGCACCCTGCCGTCATTCACTGCCCTGCTCCTTCAAGCCAGGCGTGCCCACGGCCCTCCCTCTCCTCCCTGTCCCCTTCCGATGGCCCTTGGTTTACCTGCTTATCTTGCTTCTTGACTGTCTCTTTCACTAAAATGTCACCGTCACAGGGCAGGGACTTGCTTTTGGTCACGGTTAGGGCCCCAGCGCCTGCGCCCGGTAGGTGCCCAGTAGGCAGCTGATGGCCGAATGAATGCACTGCTCATTCTCATTCTTGTGTTCCTTCCTTTTGCGCACCCTGCACTGACTGGTCCATCCCTCAGTCTACAACTGTGTGTGTGTGTGTGTGTGTGTGTGTGTGTGTGGTGTCTCTCTTTGCTCAGTTCTTCCCTCTGTCAGCCCACAGTTGCTGCTGGTCTGCTCTCTGTCAGGCTGGTACTGAGCGCTCGTTCGGAACCACATAACACTCACACAGAACAGCCTCGTACCGCCCCCCCCAAGATTAGCATGAGTACCCCCTCAACCCCTGGGTTAAAATGAGGGCTCCCAGACACTGCTCTGTGCTCCCCAAGCCCGAGGCACTCCCCGGAGCCCTGCCCCACTGGAAGCACTGGGTAGACAGGGCAAGGCCTAGACGCCAGGACTTGAGCCGGCTCTGAACCCCGAGGCCCGAGTGGGGTGATTCTTTCTGGAGGTTCAGGGCAGCTGCATCGCTGAGGGCTCCTCACTTCTGGGAAAGCCCCCCAGGTAGAAAATAGAGGTGACTGTGAGGTTGTTTCCCAGGGGCCTGCAAACTCACAGGTGGCCCAACCCCTGGGCAACACCTCGTTCAGACGTCCCTCTCCTGATGACCCACCGTCCCTCTGTCCTGACCCTGGGCTCAGGATTTGAGGAGTGGTCTTCTGCCTCTCCTTTGTTAGAATTCCAAGGACTCTACCCAAGCCCTTGTGTCCCCCCACCCCGGACACTGGGGACACAGAGGCACTGAGCTGTAGCCACAGAAATGAGAGAGGTGATAGGGAGGGGTTGACAGCCTGGCCTCAAGAAAAACGATCCCCTGGTGGCACAGGGGTTAAAGCACCCAGCTGCTAACAGAAGGGCTGGCCGTGGGAACCCACGGTGCTCTTGGAGGCAGAGAGGTGGCTATCGGCTCCCGTCAAGTAGGCAGACTTGGAAATTCTACTCTGTCCTAATGGGTCGGAATCTACACGATGAAATTTTTATTTTGAGGGGGGGTGTGCTTCTATGATATTCCAGCCAATCATGAAAACTCCCCCAGGCCTCTGCCCCAGGACTTAGTATTTTAATTGTGTGCATGCACATTGTTCCCCCCACCCCACAACTGGCCTGAGAGGGGGCTGCATGGTTACTGTGTTCTGGTTCTGGTGACCCTCTAGGGCAGAGCAGGGCTGCCCTGTGGGCTTTCTAGAGGATAATCCTGCTGAAAGCAGATCACCCTGAGGCCCTTGTCTCCTGCAGAGCGATGAGTGGGTTTGAACAGCTGGCCTCCTGGCACTTAACCACTGTTGTATCCGGGCTCCGGAGAGGGGGGAAACTCGAGATCCTGATTCCTGCATGCTGGTCTCCCCCTCCTGGGCCTCAGTTTCCCTATCTGTCAATGAAGGGGGTTGTGATGGATGATGGTGGTACTGGCCTGCCGGGAATTACCGCCTTTAACTTCCGGGTAGGGTTAAGGAGCCCAGTGGAGGGGGAAGGGACCCGACGGTGGTGTCTTACTTAATAACTCAGGTGCCTGGCCCTGAGCAGAGCCGAAATGCTGGGAGATGGGAGAGCAGCTCAGAAGCCTGCCGGGCCACCTCCTGCAAATCCTGACTCAACTCACAGTGTCAGTGTCCTGTCTGTAAAATGGAGTGTCTGAAGCTTACCCCACAAGAATCTTGTAGGTCACAATCAAACAATGCATGCTGGTGTGCTCACCGGCAGAGCGCCTGGCATGCAGGAAGTGCTTACATGGGTGCTAGCTAGGATGACGTATCCGGCATCGCGCACTGCTATGGCTGTCAATCTTTACAGGAGCAGGAAGCCTCATCTTGCTTCCGAGGAGCGGCTGGTGGGTTAGAACTGCTGACCTTTCGGCTAGCAGCCCACTCTAATCTGTAAGCTATAATCCACTATGCCGCCAGAGCTCCTTTGCAATCAAGTCACGTGAAAAAGCTCATGCTATCCAGGGTTCAAATCCCATCAACCGAGGTAGCTTCTTTGTTTGTTTTTGTCCCACTTTCAACTCATTATTTTGCTTTGTTTTATATACGGGTATAAACCCCCCCCCCACCAAACCCCATAAAGAACAAAATGACAACCAAGCCCCCCCAAATCCAATCCCACTGCAGGGGAGTCCATTCTGACTCACAGCAACCCTTTTCAGCAGCCCAAGGAGTAGTTCACGACGCCACCATGGCTCCTGGTCCAATGTGTCACACGAGGGTCTACGTGTGATCGGTGAGACCAGTCCCCGGAAAAGGACGTCCTGCTTGGTAAAACGAGGAAGCCCCTTCACGAGATGGGTTGACACCGTGGCTGCGATCATGGGCTCAAGCAACCAAGGTGAGGCTGGCGCAGGACCCGGCTGGTGTTCCATTCCGTTCACTGTAGGCAGGGTCGCTATGAGTTGGGACCAAGGGCCCTTAACAACCACCACCTCCATTTATCCCCTGCCCCCACCTGCCCCCACCCCCTGTTCAGTTGTCCTCAGGTACTATGAGATCCATTCTGACCCGGGTCGGCCCTGTGCACAACAGTAGGAAACACTGCCCGTCCTGCACCGCCCTCACAATCCTTTGTGTGCCTGCGCCTGTGGTGGCAGCCACTGTGTCCATCCGTCTCGCCGAGGGCCTTCCTCTCTTTCACTGCCCCTCCACTCCACCAAGCAGGATGTCCTGCTCCAGGGACTGGTCTTTCCTGACAAACCAGTCCTGTTCATCGGGTAAAACCTTCCACGTGCCCGCCTGCGCCCGGAAGCTGGTGCTGTGGTAGGTGCTGGCACTTGTAGCCTTTTTGTTGCATGTCTGTCTCACGCGGTCGTTCAATTAGGTCTCTCACTTTGTTCTGGTCTCCCTCATTGGCTGACGACTTTGGGGAGGGCAGGGGTGGATCACATCCTCGTCCTTGTTCCCAGCACCAGCCACAGAGCCTGGCACAAAGGAGGCACCTGCAGCCGAGAGGGACAACCTGCTTGGCATACGCCGGAGCTCAGAGGGAGCGAGGGAGGGGAGGGCCTGGCTGGATGGCATAGAGGTGGCGTGGAGCAGGTGCCACCCCATGGGGGGTCGAGGGGGGAGCAAGCCACACACTGGGTGCCTGGGGCGGGTGGGGAATTCCAAGGCAAGAGAGAGGCGTTCAGAGGTCAACATGGGCCAGCTTTCCTGCAAAGGCCTCTGGGAACGCCTCCCTGCCGCTCAGAGCTCTCTTTACCAGGTATCGATTTTCCTGCCTGTTTACTGGTACTTATTAAGGCCTGGTCCCTGGAGTCCTTTTGAAGCAAGATTGCAATCTGGAGAGCTGGAGTAATTAGGGCAGCTGCCGCCCTCCCTGCCCAGTCCTGCACCCCACAGCGTCCGCCGCTGCCCGCCTGCCCAGCGTCCACTTCTCAGGTCCATGCTGGCTGGGTACCAGGCTGGAGGGGCGGGGGGTGGGGGCAGCTGGTCGTCCGGTGACCTGACTGGTCTGCGATCTGGAGGTTCCAAATGGGTGGTGGAGGGGCGCCCTCTCCTTCCTGGTGGCCTTGGCCTAGATTTTTGGCAGAACAATGGGTCTCTAAGATGGGCCTGAGGTTCCACAGCCTGGGAGGCATGCAGCTGGCCTTTCTCTGTCACCCACACTGGGGCTTGTCTCTCACTGGCCCCTCGGTCACCCAGCTGTGCTGGCCATGAGGCTCTGGGTCCCCTTGGCCCGAGGGCCTGTCCCGTGTCCAGTATGCATGCTTTCTTCGGTCTGTTTTTGTGTCTGCTGGGGTTTTTTTTGACCCCTCCTTTAGTTTCCTAAGAATGTTTAGTTGAAAAATTCCAGTCTTGTTCCAGCTGAGCTCAGGGAAGAGGTGCCGGGGCTAACTAGCAGCTGGGTGGTTGGGGAAACTGGGGGCATAGGGGTAGCCTGCAGCTGTAAGCTGAGTCTGCTTGGAGCCTGGGGCAGAGACTAGGAAGGAGAGAGACAGAGACACAGAGAGAGGC